GGCTGCTGGGTGTAATCCTCTCCCTCCCTCAATCGTGTGTGTGTCAATGGTCCCTTGGGTGTGCGTCCAAATCTATCAATGTGTATGCATCTCGGTCTTGAGTGTGTGTTGTGAATGTGTGTGTGTCTGCCTGTGGAACACACCAACCCAGCCCAAAACAAAAACCCCTTACAGCGTTTTGCCATTCTGTGACACCCTCACAATGTATCACTTGCAACACACCACATATCCATTCACTAATTATGCACGTGAGACACACATGCACCACACCCAATTTTCTCCTAACAGCCTCATCAATAATAGTTAAATGAGGGTAATTACGTCCCTCACAATTGAATGGGACTAAACGGTTTAGTAGAATAAAAATGGGACCAATTGGTTCATAAGTTCAAATTTTGGGATTTATTAGTAAATCTCCCTAAAATATTCATGAATTTAGAAAATGCTAAATCAATATTGTGCTTTATTTTTTTAAAATTTTTTATTGGATATGATTTATTTATACTAAACTATTTGTTTATTTCTTTTCTTGGATTGGTTTGCAATATAGTTTTTTCCACATCATGCTTTGACATGATGGGCTTGATTTTTAAGCATGCTTGACGTAGTCCAAGCAGAAAGCCATGCACAATGAATTGGGTCTGTGGCAATTTAGAATGAAACACCCACAAAGCCCATAACAATGTACAACAGACCAACAAAAAGAGAGCCCACCCCATTAAGTGGAAAAAAATAAAAATGAATCTGAACCCAGGATGCCTCTGTCGAAGAAGACGAATGTAACGCCCCAATTTCCTATGCCCAAATGATAACACAACCATCATGGCTCCTTAAAGGAAAACAGAAATAATCCTCCACACTTGCGTTACATGATACAATTAATTACTTAATGCGATTATACGTTTAATCCAAAACCAAATAAATAAACAAATAGATACCTCCAAGGATTTACAAGTTTCCAAGGCTTAGGCCCGGTTACACAAAACGGTTATTCAAACCTACACAAATACAACCCTTGGCTTACAAAACAGAGTCACGCAAAATGAGAGCATTGTACTCCCAATACACGTAATTCCACGCCCCTAGTTGGGTGGAATCACCACATCTTTTCCTACACAAAAATCCCGTAGGGTGAGCATAAAGCCCAGTAGGAAATTCTTAACAAAGTATACATTTTATACAAGTCTCAAGAGATGAAATGCACATGCCATGCTATGCCCTTTTTGAAGATAAATCACATTTTTTGAAAACCATCATACTCAATGATGTCATGCAATTTCAATTGTTCAAAACTTAACAATTTATTTCAAGGGTGGTAAATACAACTCTGGTAATCCCTAGGTCGGTGTCTGCAAGTAGACTATACAAGTACTATAAAATTGTCATTTTTATCGGTATTAACTAGAAGGCTCGACACCTATCCGCGCGGGTTTTCGGTCTTTCACCCTGGACTATCAGGCCAACTTATTCAATATCATTTATACCACTTATCAAGATTTACCAATGTATTTACCCCAAAACCATTCCATGAAAACTTGTTTCTTAACATTCTTTTCTCAATGCAAGTTTTTAAATCAACTTTCAAAGTTTAATGTAATCAAATGAATTGATATGCCAATTTCACAAGATGAATATAAATACTTTTATTTCAATTCATCATCCAAGGAATAACACAATTCCCTCTTCTCAAGTATTCTAACAATTAGTCATTTTAAGACTATTTCAACGTTTTGAACAATAATTTCCAAAATGAACAATAATTCTCATATTCCATGAAATTCATCATTTATATAAATATAAATAAGAAATTTTCCAAACATCCATTTATTTTGACACACAAAATAAATATAACAATATCATTCATGGATTTTCAATCTCTTTTAAAAATTCCCAATTTTTAGGTTTTCTCACCAAAACTATAGAATCCAAATCTTTTGAAAAAAAACTTTCCAAAATCATATTTTCTTCAATTAACGAAGATCAAGACCCATAAGATCATTTTAAAAGAACAACAGACAAACCTACTTTCAAAATCGCTCAACTTCTTGAATCAACAATCAATTTTCAAAAGCCTATCAAAGGATGATTTCGAAAATCATCTAGATCTTGCTAAAATATATATATATATAATTCAAAGAAAATCCCTACCTCAAGTTTAAAAAGAATAGAGATGAAACCCCAAAATCAGCGATGCCTAAACTCGATAACGAAGCCCTCGAGATGATAACCCACTTTGATGAAGAAGCAATGGCAAAACTCAAATGGATCTTGAGAAATCAAGGTTTTTGATCTAGCTTGTGTAGAGAAATGTAGAGAGAAGGGAGAGGAAATGTTTTTAGAGAGAGAAAGATATACAAAAGTGATATGAAATATCAGATTCACGAACTAATATAACATGGTCCATTCGAGCGTAGAAAGTCCTGCTCGAGCGTAGAAAGTCCCGCTCGAGCGTCGAATACACCTTCCCAGTACTTTTACAGACATGTCAAACTTCTGGAACCAAACATTCTCCGCTTGAGCGCATAAACGACCGCTTGAGCAGACGAGCAACTTCGAATGCATTTTGTATTTTTGCTTCGAGGGCGTTATCCCTCGACCCCGCCAAGGTGCTGCCCTCAGACCCGCAAAGGGGCGCTGCCCTCTAGACCCCCGTGAGCTCGATCCCCGTCATAGTCAGTGAAGTGGCAAAACATGAAAGATACGCTACAACCCGATACAAACACGAGACATTACCTATTCCAAACACACCGCTACAACCCGATAACCAAAATAAGGGAAATACAAGGAACTAAGATACGTAACACCGGTTAAAACCATACCAACCCAAGCCTGGAACACCATAAAGAGACGGGTCAAAACCGGGATCGCTACAACGAAATTGAACTAGGTAAGTACGCTTCTTCTTATACTATTATTGTCTCGTATGACTTCTTTCTTCATCTCTTTCTCTGTGAATCACAGATCTAGAGTTCCTACAGGTAACATAAACAAAATCAGTGATTTTTTTATTTTATTTTCAGCCATCATCGTGTCTGAGAAGTGTTTATAGAGTGTTGAAGGTGTCTCCAGCAACTCAAAGAAGTGAACAAAAGTGGGACACAAGAGAGGGCATGTCTGACATGTTTGTCGCATCTTCGAACTTGTCCGTGTCCTAGACATGTTGGACACTAGTACGTTAGGCTAGATGGAGTGCATCTACTTCATAGGTTTTCATATATAATGGACGTGATTCATCAGATGAATGTTTTAACCTCACGGTTATATTAAATGTGCTTTATGTAGGTAAAGGAGTTTCATTTACATGAGATCTCCCAAGTTTTGTAACTTGGAAATTTCACAGTTGTTAATAGAATTAGGGTCCGTATTAGGTCAACAACAACATAATTAACTTTTATATGAGTGGTTGGGCTTGTCCAACTAGAATATGGCATTTTGAAAATATGTCAATTCAAAGGCTAAATTTGTGGTTCATTCGAGTAATGTGGTGCGGGAAATACTAATTTAAGGGATGTGTTACATGATGTCTATCATGGAATTCCTAGAACACATCATTTCTTTTCTATCTTAATTTGGCTATTTACTTCCGATGTTCCTTTTTTTTGTTGGTAATATATTTCTTTTTGATAATTAATTATCTCTAAATGTTAATAATGCAGCCATTGATTTGGAAAATCCAGTTATTGATGTCACTCCATCTCCCCTCACTGGTTATACATCATCTTCTCATGGTTCCAAAGTTGTTTTATTGTGTGAACGTGTTCAAGTTGCTGGTCAGTCAAGATTGGAACTTGGGAGTTATGCCAGTGCGTATCAGGTTAAATTGGTCTCATCTGTAGTAATTCCTGAGAAATTGCACAACAAAATTCAGATTTGTTTTCACCAGTAAATGAAATGTCCTTGAATTTTGACTCTTTTACTCCCATGCTCTTTCTCTCCCTGATACTTTACTTTACATGGACTCGTGTACAAGTGTGGGGTGTGGGTATGTATCTAGGGGTTGGACTCGGCAAACCTCTAAATGAGGGATACGGAGTATGTGGATACGGCTAAACATGGATGTGTCAAAAAAATATTATATATTTTTTCTGGTAAAGTTACAATAATTTATGGCTTAGAATGATTACATATTTTTATGATGATGCTACACATTTGTAGTTAAAAAATATTGAATAAAAATTATATATAACGTTATTAAATTTTTATTTTTATTTTCCATGGATAGAAGTTAAATTCCAACTCCTAATTTGTATTAGTCCCAAAACATGAGAAGCTCATATAATACCATCTCCAACGCTGCATCTAATATTTCATCAAATTTAAATTTGATGAAAAACGACAACTGTTTAACCTCCAACCCTTTCATCAAACTCATATCAAATGAGGGATGAACCAAAACTTTTATCAAATGAAGGGAGGCTTTCATCTTTCATTAAATTTAAATTGTTACCATTCGGCTAGACATCCCCCCGGATGTCCACCCAAGAGCAACTTTGACAGTTTTTTTCATTCATGTCTGGATGACTTCCAGGACATCAGTTCGGATGTCCTCCCAACAATTGGGGATGGAAAAAATCTAATGGAAATTATAAGGTGTGTTTGGTTTGTGTTTTGAGATAAATTTTCAAAAATTTTTTGAGCAGAGTTTAGAATTTTTTTTAATTTATTTGGTTGTATATTTTGAAAATAGTTTAGGAGTTTGGGATGATTTGATATTTTATTGTAGTTGAGTAGATGCGTGTGAGAGAAAAAGTGATTGATTAATATATAATAGAGAGAAGTAATTTTGAAATTTTTTAAAGAAAATTTGTAATCAAACATATTTTTGGAAATTTTCTTTCAAAAATATATTTTAAAACACAAACCAAATATACAAATAATTTTAGTATTGGAGTGAACGGTGTTAAATAAAATTTTTCAACAAATTTTATTAAAATTTAATGAAAATTTTGATTTACCGATGCTCTTAGAGCCAGCCAACCCAATAGCCCTATAATTTTTATCGTAAGCCCCATTTTATTAACAGACCAAAGTGTATCCTAAGCCCAAATTCACCAAACCCTAGCACAGCCATCAACAAAGTTGAATACAGAATATGGAGATGACGAATGACGACGATGACGATGAGGTCGCGAGCCATCTCTCTCTCTCTCTCTCTCTCTCTCCTTCCTCCCGTGTCCTGGCCGTATTCAGTACCCATGTTGCTTAGGTTTAATTTATCTCCTGTTGCTTAGGTTTAATTTATCTCTGTCTGTCTCCGTCCATCTTTTGAAGTTTGTCTTTGGCTTTTGTGGTTTGTGCACAGTTTCAAAGATGGCGTCTCTTTTGTCTTGCTTTTGGTTTTGTTTTATTGCTGTTGGCACCAGTGGTCAGCAGTTGGGTTCCCTTCTATTATAGCGGTTCAATGGCTGTTGGAGTTTTTCTTGTCATTATTATCCTTCTTTTTCAGGTATTTGGATTTGATGGCCATTGTATAGTAGTCTTTTTTTAAAGAAAAAAAAAATCTGTTGCCTTTTATTTTGCTCTGTATTCACAAATGGTGCTACTTATTCTTCGTAAGGTTTCAATTTCAATCACATAACAAAAATCAAAGTTGTTGGCCTGTTTAGTTGTGCAGAAATCTTGAAATGTTTTCAACATGAAATCTTTGCAACCATTGACAAAAATCTGGTTGTAGAAAATATAGGCATTCACTGGTAATATTGGCGATATCATCCATAACAACCAAAAATCTTATAACCTGTGTGGATTTTATATTTTCATGGTCTCTCCACAGGAGAAGAAATGATAAGAAATAAAAATAGGGCTTAGATTTTTGTCCTTCTCTAGCTTTAGAATTAAATGATGAAGAGGATGGAAAAGTCTTCTTGTCTCTGTATTGCATAATTTAGAGTGGCACTTCTTGAAGATACAATGATTAATAGTTGTTTAACGTTGACCAATTAATGTTCCTGTAAAGAGTGATCTGATCTGGGTCCATGGTGCCAAAAAGAAGAGGAAGGTCAAGAAGAGTGGCATAGGATGGAATTATCAAAAAAAAAAAAAAATAAAAGAAAAAAAGAGAAAAAAAGGAGTGACATAGGATGGGGCGGTGATAAATTGCATGATTGCTTCAGACTTAATCAAGAATATGGATTGGAATAGAGTGGATAGGAGAAAACAAATTTGTGGATCCGAAGCCAATTAATTGGGGCCAAGTGATGTAGAACAACCGGAAATGAAGAATAGTAATACCGAAGAAAGAGAATAAACCACAGAGAAAACAAAACAAACCCTAAAATACTCAAATACAGCTCTCAATTTTCAACGCTTATTCAACGCGGAATAATCCTCCTACATAAAGGCCTAGTTACCCTTCTTATGAGAGGAAAACTTAGCATTATGACTTGTATTAGATCCATTATTCTTCAATTGAGTTTTTATTGCTGGCTGAATTGTTGGTGATGGGGAATATATTTGATTCTTCTTATTAGTTTGATTTGTTTTAATGAATTTCTGGATTTGATTTTGATATTGATTATTGAATATATTTGATTTTGCTTTGGAACTGTTTTCCTTTTCTCTCCTCTCTTCACACTCTTCTTACTTCTCTTCTCTTCCTCTTTGTCCTTTATCGTTCTTCTAGTGCTACAACTGTTGGAGCATGGGTCTACTATCATTTTGTATTCAAGTGCTATAATTTTATAAAACATTTTACTTCCTAGTTTCATATGCTGCTTGTGAATTTATGGATGAAATATCTCATTAGACTGCTGCTGAAATTGGTTTAGGGGATGAAATTATTACCAACTCGGAGGAAAAATGTTTTCTACCTCACTCTATATGGATTGGTGGTAAGTGCTTTTCTGCTTTAGTATAGCGATGTTAGGATCTTTTCAATGTTGGTCAATTCAATTCTTGTCAGTTTTGGGCTGAGTGAAGAGATGCACAACCCTGTATGTCTTTCTGACATTATGTTTATATAATGAAGACTTGTTTACCCAAAGTAATTGGCTTCATTTGGTCTGGAATGTACTGTATTTCAATTTTTTAGTGATGTAGTATGATAAATAGACTAAATGTTTGTTAAATAGCTTATTAGTTGTAGCATATAAATAGGTGATGTAATACCCATTAGTTTTGGATTAAAGAATATATATTGTGATTGGAGTAGGGCTTAGTTTCTCTCTCTAGCTTTTAGGGGTTTTATCCCTAATTGGGGCATTTTTCTTCTCTCTCTCAATTTGATCTTGATTTGGCATTTGGATTTCATTTTTTGGTATCAGAGCATAAGATCTTGTACTCCATTGTTTCTAATTGTACATACAACTCGTCAATTAGAAAGGAGCAACGTACCTAACTCTGGATCTAAACCCTAATTCTTGGGTGTGAACCCTAGATCATCTCACCAGAAGTTGCCATCACAAGTGTGATCGATTTGATCCGAAGCCATAGATTTGACATCGCAATCAAGAGTTGACCCTCGATTTGGTAGTCGTGACTTGCATTTGGACCTTTCACACTGGTGATTCAACATCGCAGCAAGATCTCCAAGCGTTTGAGTTCAGATCTCAGTTTAAAGCCCTTCATTTGTTTGCATATGTCAGGAAACCAAGGAATCACCATCTCTCTGAAGTCAAAGTGGAAATTGCGATCTTACCAGATTGCTTCGTTGACTCCATTGGATGAAAGAGGGATTTTTTTTTGTTCAGCTGTTGTGGGTTGCATTTGGTTCAAAGTTCAAACCTAGAATCTCTCTGAAGTTGAAGTTGAAGGCGCGATTTGAAGACCCATTGCAAACTTGAAATTGCTATTGTTCATCGTGATTTCAACCTAGCTCTTTAATTTGAGTTTGCGTTTGCTGGAGTTCTTGAATCCTCTTATTGAGTCAAGTTCGCAGACTTTGAATTCGACCTAGTTTGGCCTTGCAATCTGACTTGCAAGATGAGATTCGATCTGGGTTTGGTCCTTCGATTCCAGTTCGTCGCTGAATCAGGTATATCAACTCTTCGTGAACCAACTCCCTTGGATTCCCCTGTACCACTTCGATTCTACATCTTGGGTTCGAAGCTGTTAGTCGACTTCGACAATCACTTGCAAGTTGCGATGCAACCCTCTGCAACGAGTTGATGAGAGTAGTGAACTCGTCTTCTTTTGAAGTTGCGACTGCAGATTACCAAAAAAATCAACTCAAAGATTTGATCTCATAGTTCAGAAGTGATTCAAAATCTAACTTGGTTCTGTTTTTCAAGTTGATCGACATGACTCAATTCAATTCTGGTATCAATTGGAATTGTCCTGAATCAATTTGCGATGTGGCCATCTTATTCTCGATTCTTGTTCTTGGATTGGATCTTGATTATTTGCTACTACATACTGCTGTGAGTGGATATTGAATTGAGTTGTCCTCAATTGGGAAATTGGGTCTGAAACTGTGTACTTTGTGATCGGCATATCTAGACTGTTTGTGGGTCATATTGGGTTGTTTGGTTATGGTTAATCAAGATCGAGGTCATCGAAATGGCCGTGGTAGAGCTTATGCTCCGACTTTGGGTGAAGAAACCGAGATGAAGTTCTCAATTGGAAGGGACACTGATGCTAATCCAAAACAAAATTCATAGTAAAAAAGATGAGTTGAAGCAAATGAGTGGACGACTTGTTACATCACAAGCTGCCATTGAAATTTTTGATAGCTTCAAAGAAATTATTTGAAGTTTATCGTTAGGACTTTTTCATACCTCTTTTTCATACCTCTTGTGTGCTCAATTCACATTTGTGCCAAGGGAGCAATGAAAGAACCGAATTCCAACTCGTGATCAACTACTCTCTTGGTTTTGCGTGGTGGATACATTGTCCATTCTATCATTATGTCAATCTTCTTAGCTTTGCTTTGGAAGATGTCATTTGCCAACCATTGGGCTCATTCTGACAGAATGAGTACTCTTCTGCAGTATGCAGGTTAGAGGTGAAGGGGTTTGCAAATGGGGGTCTATCCGAGTTTTTTAGCGAGAGGATATAGACACACTGGTAGGTCGTTTTGCACACCAAAAATAAATCCTTGCTAAAACCTTAATTCAATAGAATAGTGGTTTAGTTCGGATATCGATCCACAGGGACTAAAAGGCTAAGTTGTTTAAATTTCAGATTAATTCTTAAATCAATTCAAAAGTAGAAAAAAAGAATTTTGTATGAGCTTAATTAAATTAAACAAATAAATATAATTAAACTAGTATTAATCAAATAGAAGAGACTCAGGGTTTTGAATCCACCATAACCTTGTAATCAATGAACTGTAACAGTTTATAGATTTATTATTCAACTCAACTATGATCTGTTAGTGACTACAAGTCCCAACAGTATTGTCTAGAGGATAATTGGCAGTTTAATGTTCAGCATACACTATCTAGTACTAGCACGAATCATCGCTCCTAACATAGACTATCTTAACCGAATAAAAGCAAATCAATGAAAACCGTTGTATAAGTATGCAATTAGAATCACAGAAACTAAGAACATGTGCTAGATAGAATGATTCAAAACAAAGTAATAACATAGAAAAGCCTTAATCTTATACAACTGTTGAATCAATAATAAAAACCCTAAACTAAATACAGAACATTGTTACTTGACTAGAGTTTCATCCAAATCCTAAGAGGAGAGCTCCTTAGCCGCACATGTGTTTGTAGCCTCCGCCTTCTCTCTCTAAAATCAAGAACAACCCTAATAATGAAGAGGGTTTTATATTTATAGACATTAGCAGCCTTCTAAGTAATACCCAAGAGATTAGAATTTCAAAAAAATGAAAGGAAAATTCGGATGTAATTATTCCTAGCTTTTTAGGCTTATCTTGTTGGCCTGTTTTGACCTATTAAAAGTCAGAATTTGAAAATTCCTATTTCACACAAAATCGTAGCCCTTTGAGTTATCTTTCCAATGCCGCTTGAATCACTTAAATTTGATATTGGACGAGAGAGATACATCCAAAATACTGAAGGCTGTGTAGAGTGACTTATATAGCGGGATTGTAACAATTTTAACTTTTCTTTCTTCAAATCTCATGGGTTGGGCTTTTATTGCTTGATTAAAATTATTTAGATTCTTCTAGGCCTTCAGAGCTGAGTTGGAGCTTGGTCTCGGATTTCAAATATGAAATTAAGTCCAATTTCTACTCATAAACTTGAGTGACCTGCACACATACAAACATATTAAAATCATCAAGTAACAATGATTAAAGGACCTAACAAGTATACTTTAAGGGGCCTAAATGTATACATTTTGGCAATTATCATACACCTATGGTTGTTCAGCCAAGGATGCAAGGATGAAGTTCAATGTATTTGCAGTCGGCTAAGTTGAGAGAATCATGTTTGTTCTTGAGCAAGGAAATGCAACACCTATTCCTTACATATCGTTACATTAGTAGTATTACGTTTAGTTTTCTTAGTTGGTACTTAAACTTGAGGACAAGTTTCTTAAAGATGGAGAGTATGCTGTAGTATAATACATAGACTAAAATAGCTTATTAGTTGTAGTATATAAATCAATGATATCCATTGTACTTAGTTTTGGAATAAAGAATATACATTGTGATTGGAGTAGAGCTTAGTTTCTCTCTCTAACCCTTCCGGGTTTTACCCATAATTGGGGCATTTGTCTTCTCTCTCAATTTGACAAATGCCCCAATTACGGGTAAAACCCCTAATGGATAACCAATTCGGAAAACCCATCTTTTTGTCTTCGTTCGCTGCCTTTCGGAAAACTAGTTCTGAACAAAAGCATGATGTTCAGTACTATATAGCCGAACAAAAGGCATATGTTCAGTTGTGGAGTACCGAACATATTCAGCAAGTTCAACTCTATGTAACCGAACAAAGAGAAATCCACCTACTTGTGAGGTAGAGAGAGAAATCGATGGGGAAAGAGGGAGTTGCGCACAAAAAAGAGAAAAGAGTAGGTTCTGAAGGATGAAGATGAAGATCGTGAAAGAGAGTTAGCAAATCAGTCGCTCCTTCTCCGCAGCTGCCGCCAAAATCCTAACCTTCGGTGCCATTGATAGTTCTGTAAACAACAGGTAGTGGTGAGAGGTTCACTGAAGGATGAAAATAACAGAGATGGGTTGGTTGCTGGAGGCTGCCGGCAGGAGTGGAAGTGGTGGTAGGATTAGGGTTTGGGTTAGACTTGGGAGGATAGGATGAGGACAAAATTAGAATTTGATGTTAGGATAAAATTGTAATAAAATAAAATATAAAAAATGAAGGGTTCAAAGTAAAAAGGTAGTGGCATTTAGCAGCCCTCATAGATTATATATATTCTAAACCCAACCCCACTTTTGAAGTATGACAAATTTCTGTTGTGTAACCCTTTAACTAAAACTCAACAAAATGATTTGATAAATGTCAACTCATCTAAAAGCTTAAATTGTTGGAGAAAGTGGTGACTTCACTATTTATAAATTATATCCTCAACAAGCCCCTCACATGTGGCCAAACTCTCCTCCAAAAGCAGGCCAAAGGGGTGCAAGTATTATAATTATCGGGTAGGTGTTGAGTTCAAACACATGATCTATTACCTGCTCTATACTATGATAAATTGTTGACAAGCAACTCTTCCTGTCCTTCAACATGATCCTTAAAGTTTTATGTTGTCATAGCAACTTTTCTGGCTGCCATTATAAAGAAGAATACAGTTTCCCTGAGATTAGAAAAAAGAAGAAATGCAAGTACATGTGTTGTATGAAAAGAAACAACGAGAAAACATTCCTAATTAAAGAAGAATACATTTGCATGCGTTGTATTACATTTGTTCGCAAGAACTAATTTAGCCTCGTGAACACACTCCACCCGTGCTTCTTGGA